GGAGGGAGGAGGGACCAGGAAAAGTGTCCTTGTCCACTTCTCGCCCGGGATGGGAGGGGAGACAAGTGTCGAGATGAAGGTCTCCGCGCATCGCTTTTATCTCTTCTTGCTGCGTCCTTGGAAATGAAGGAAGGTGGGAGGAGAGGGGGAAAACGAGCACGCAGGCGCTGGAGCTACCAACACTACTAGGGTTTCTGCCGCGCCGCTAAAGCTGACTTGCCCCAGACGAGGAGCCGCGCAGCTCTATGTGGCTTTGAACGCTGTAGGGATGGTGTGCGGGGTGATTTGCGTGGAGGTGAGAGGGAGGAAACGCAAGGAAATGATCATCCCAGAGACCATTTCATTGCTTGCGGGGGCGTGTGGGAATATCTCGGCGAGGACAAAACGCTTGGAAAGAAAGCCCGAGAACGTCTGGAATTAGTGCCCAACATGTCTTTTTGGTACACGCGTGTGCAGCCATGTTATCGCATCATCGTGACGTTGACCTTCGTACAGGAATTGAGGCATACAGCCTCCTTTCGGAACTCCTCCTGCCTGCTCGCTCCTTGCAAAAGGAAACATTTCCTGAGGGGCGCAACACAAATTTAGCCCCTGGATGGTGAAAAAAGCAACGAAACGTCATGAGGAGATCTTTAAAAGTATACCAGTGGTACCTGTTACCCACATGCATATGCCCTTTCTGCCCCTGTTGCCGGGCACCGTCATGTCGGCATCAGGTCTTTTGCCCACCTCTCACACCAACCCCTCCTTTCCTCTTTCCCCTCGTTCACATCCAGGAAATGCCAGCCCTCGGCTCGATATCTTCCCTCTCCACCCGTCCAAGCCCTCCTCACGATGCCATCGCTTCACGCCCCTTACCCCACCCCCCCCGCCTCGATGCCGCAACCGGCTTCCCCCCTCGTCCACCGCCTGGCCGGGCTTGCTCTTCATGCACCCCCGACGAGTCCTGCGCCGCTACTCTCTCCCACCAATGCCGCCTGGGATGTCTGCCAGTCCAATCACCTCCTCGCGCCTTTCCTGTCTCTGCCTGACTTGGCCTCTTTGGCGGCCACCCAGAAAGCCTTCGCTCCCTTCCGCTCCCAACGGTGGATGGCCGAAGGCCGAGACTTGGAGAGGGGCGCGTGGTGGGTTTGCCTCACTCGCCGTCTCCTCAGCCAGTACCTGAGCACGACAGACCTGTGCCTGTCCTTGGCGGCCACGTCGAAAGCCTTTCGGGCTTTTGGACGCCAGCCGGTGAGGAGGGAGGGAGGAGGGAGGGAGGGAAGGCGGGAGGGAGGGAAGGAGCGAGGACGTGTCTTGAGTCATAGAGGGAAGTGGGCGCTAATCCGGCGCCTATACCTCCTCTCTTTCCTTCCCTTCTTATCTCGCACTGCCTCCTTCCCCTGGGCCTTCAGTGGCGCCTCCGTCCACGACACTGGTCTCCCCGCCTCCTGCAGGTACAGTCCC